AATCGGGCACCCCTGTGAAAGGGTTGTTCAACCCCCAAAGAGGTCGCGACCCACAGGTTGAAAACCGCCGTGGAGGCTTTGGGAGGTTTGGTGCACAGGGGGCTATGTTTTCCTTTTCAAAGAAATCGGAGGGGTACAAATTTGAGTTTGGGATCTGTCGGCCAAGGGGGTCTCAGCTTGCTCAGAAGAAAGTAAAAAGGCAAGGCCAATACAGAGGTCATCGCGGCCTCCTGTATACGGCACCTCCCATTGGCTGGACCTGGCCAGAGGCAGAGAACAAAGACACCTATGGATGCAGTGAGGTCTGCTCCTCAGGGCTGGGAGCAGAGAGTTGAAGGTAGACAGCGGCTGTGCAGAGATCTGGCTCCTCGCTCACAGGCCAGCCAGAGGCTGCTTGGACACGTGACTGCCCAGAACCACGAGTTCAACAGAATGAGTGTTTCTTGACGAGTCAGCAGTGAGTCAGCTAATCTGAGGGTATTTCCAGGAAAACTGGCCTCTGACAGTAAGCTCCAGTCCTCAAAGGTCTGTGCTGGATTTTGTTTTATTTTTTTTTCCAAAGGACGCTGTACTTTTGACATTTATACATACACCAGCAAAACATCAAATGATTCTGGGGAACTGGCAGCTGTAGATTTGCCAAGTCAGGTCATTATCTAAAAAGCAGTCCACATCTGGTATCACTGTCGGATCCTAAGAGACCAGCCAATTTGTTGTTTTATTATTACCCGGTGTTTAAGCTTCCTAGGGCTGCTGTAACCAATTACCATCGTCCTAGTCACTTAAGACAACCCGGATTTGCTGCCTGTGCTGGAGGTCAGGTATCCCAGGCAGCTTCCCTGGGCTCCAGTCAAGGTTGCTGGGATGGGTTCCTTCTTGAGACTCTAGGGGACTTTCTTGCTTTTCCCAGCTTTTAGGTTGCATTCCTAAAATGCAAACCTGCGTTCCTGGGTTCCTTTACTGCAAGTCCAGCCATGCCATCACGTGGACCTCTGACTTTATCACCCTGTTTCTCTGACTCTCCTCCCTCTTCCATCTTTCCAAGGTTTTTATGATGAGATCAGACCCCTCGGATAATCTAGTACAATCTCTTCCTTTTAAGATTGTGCATTGGGCCCTCTCGGTCAAAGCCCTTTGGCTACGGGAGGTAATCCATTCACAGGGGTACGAAGCTCTTTGCCGAGCCTGCTGCTCGGCTTCAGAGAACCACCTGGGCTGGGGCTGAAGTCAGAGGTGAGACAGATGGGGTGAGAGTGGGGGTGCAGGAGACCTCTGCTCCACCCCAGGTCAGCGGGAATCTTATCATGATTGGCTCCAATCCCCAGACTAGATTCTGACATGATTAAATATCCATCTCATTCGTTATGAGTTAAAAAAAAAATCCTCTCTAAACTAATTGCCAGAGGCAGCTGGTTATCTTGATGCCCACCCACTCACCACTTGCCTACCTCCCATCTGTTGCCCAGTTCCAACCCTGAAGTTAGCCCAGCCTCTTTCTAACTAAAGGAGGACGGTGAAGGAAGGAGGCAAAGAGAACAGAGAGTGCTGGAGCTTCCATCGTCACCATCCCGGGGGTACGCATTTTCACTGCAATTGCTGACCCCGCTGTCCCTTGCTCGGTGGCATCTTCTGTCCCGTTATGTGTAGCCTGGTACCTCGTTCTCCTCAGTTGAAATATGCTTTTCTAGAAGGACACTGTTCCGACCTTCTCAGCAGGAACCTGCAAAGGCGAGCGAGTTTGAAATCATTGAAGTCCTCCTTCCGCGCCACCCATGCATGAAAGACGAGGCTTTCTCCTCCCGTAAAGTGTCTTGGAAACCCACAGGGACAGTTCCACCTTGTCCTATAGTGTCGCTGTGAGTCAGGATCAATTGGATGGCAGCGAGTGAGTGAGTGCTTGCACCACGGGTGACCTCAGTTGAATCATTTCTGTAGAGGCTCTGATGTCATGGGACGTTCGGAACGAAGCTGGGTGGCCCGTGTCTCTGAGTGATTAACGAGTCAACAACCACGGGAGGGACTGGTGAGGTCTGTAACTGAGCTCAGGAACTTAAGGTGCCCAGCAGTTGTCGTAGCAGTGGGTGCTGTCAAGTCAGTTCCTGTTCATAGCGACCCTGTGTGCAACAGAAGGGAACACTGCCCCGGCTGTGTCAAACTCACAATTATTGTTTGAGTCCATTGTGGCAGCCACCGTGTCCGTCCATCTTGTCCAGGGCCTTCCTCTTTTCAGTGCCCTTCCACTTTACCAAGCGTGATGTCCTTCTCCAGGGACTGGTCTCTCCTGACCACATGTCCAAAATATGTGAGACAAAGGTTCACCTCCCTCTCTTCTAAGGATCATTGTGGCGGTACTTCTTCTACAGCAGTGGTTCTCAACCTTCCAAAGGCCGGGACCCTTTCATACAGTTCCTCATGTTGACCCCCCCCTTGGGGTGACCCCCCACCCCGCAACCATACAATTATTTTCATTGCTGCTTCTTACCTGTAATTTTGCTACTGTTATGTATTGGGCGACCCCTGTGAGAAGGTCGTTCGACCTCCAAAGGGGTCGAGACCCACAGGTTGAGAACCGCTGTTCTAAAGACAAATTTGTTTCTTCTTTTGATGGCCTGTGGTATTTTCAGGATTCTTTGCCAGCACCATAACTCATTGGTCTGCCGTTATTCAGTGTCCAGCGCTCACATGTGTTGGAGATTGACAGTATCATGGCCTGGGTCAGGAGGACATCAGTTTTCCAAGTGACGTCCCAGTCCCAGTGGACTGTCGTCAACCAGACCAGAGACCCCGGTGTGCCCTTGTTTGCAGCACAAACACCAGTGGCAGAGGAACCAAAGCCACACATCATCCCATGGATCCCTCACTCCTCTTTGTGGAAGACTCGGCATCTTTCAGCCGCTCCCTTTCTGCTTCCTGCGTACTGCTCACAGTCCCCTTCCTTCTGGGAAGTTTTGCCAGATTTTACCTGGACCCATGTTAGGTTTATGCTGGGTGATTTGCTCCATTGGACAAACCCCAGACTTTGACCTTGAGACTCTCCCATCTCCTTCCCATGAACCTACCTCCAGCCCTTGTATAGTTGATAGTCTGGTGCCTCTTTCTAACTAATGGTTACCCGGCATTCCCTACTAAACCTGATGGTTTCCTCGGTGCCAGGACCTTGATTACCCGACACAAGCAAACGGGCTGGTTCCGTGTGGATGACTGGCATACGAGCATTCCCAGGATGATTCATTGTCTTTCTTTTTTCTTAAGGATCTTGTTTGTGCATGAAATTGAAGAAATAATCGGATAGATCCCAAGCATTGTGTATGCTTGTCAGGAGAGGGGAAGATATTTTCAGGCTGAGGGATTGTCCAACTGGAGAGAGAAAGGTGATGATCATGAAGAAGATGGTGGTGAACAGGGTAGGAGGATTGACAAAGGGCCTTCAAGAAATTCATGGAGAAATGGGATTGAACAAGGAATTTTCCCATGGGCTTTCTGAAGCTCCCTTATAGAGAGGTGATAGAATATGGTAGATATATCAATATCAAAGTGGTGAAAAATATGGAATCTGGAAATTGACCACCTGGGTTGAATTTCAGCTGTCACTTACTGGATAACTTTGGGAAGTGTCCTCACTCTTTTCACCAATAAAAGTAGGATCATGGTAGAACTGCCAAGAAGAGCAAATGAGTTGATGTATGCAGAGCCTTAATGCCAGGCATTGAGGAAATGCTCACTAATGGTTGGCCATGTGGTTATAACTCATTCCCAGGGCCAACCTGTTGGATCACCTCTCAGCCTCACATAATGGGACTCTCATGCTTTTCCTTCACCTAGATCTGAGGACACCCAAGAGCCCAACAAGTCCACTGCTTCTCATCCCAATCTTCATCGTTGTCTTCCTCTTGCTGACCCTAATGATAGTCCGAAGGAAAAGGCTCTGCCAAAAGCTGTCTCCGAGAAAAGGTAAGTCCCTTTGATTCACGATGTCTCCCAACCAAGGTGGTTACCGTGACAAAGGTTCATACCCTGGACCGGTGGGTGGAAGTTGTTGAGGATTTCACTTTACTTGGGTCCACCCTCGATGCCCACGGAAGCAGCCACCGAGAAATCAAGTGACATATTGCATTGGGCAAATCTGTTGCCCAAGACCTTTTTAGAGTGGTGACACGTTGTGTCACTGTGAGGCATGAGGTGGGTTTGACCCCAGACTATGTTATTCTCAATCACCTCATATGTCTGCAAATGCCAAGCAAGGAATAAGGAAGACCAGGCAAGACGTGGTGCCTTTGAAGGATGGTGCTGGTGAAGCGCATTGAATACACCAGTAGCTGCCAGAAAAGCAGGCACGTGTCTTCCAAGAAGTTCAGCCAGAACGCTGTAGAGCAGAGGATGGCGAGACTTCGTCTCACCAACTCCGGACACATCATCAGGACATGGTGTTTAGAAAAGTAGGTCAGGAACAAAAGAGGAAGCTCCTCAGCAAGATGGATAGACACAATGGCTGCGACACCAGGCTTGAGGTAGCGACCCCTGTGAGGATGGAGCGGGACCAGGCAGTGTTCTGTTGTGCACGGGGTGGCTACGAATCAGAACCCACTCGTTGGTTGGTACCTGACGACAGCAACACAGCTTACCATATACTCTCGAGTATAAGCCCACCAGAATATTAGCCAAGGCACCTAATTTTATCACAGAAATACGGTATATATTCACAGTTGCTGTGAAATCATCTCACACTCTGTGGGGCCGTGTCCTCTGCCTGCATTAGCCTCGGGCCACCACAAGCCACCCAGCCAGCTCTAGAATCCAAAGAGCTCTCACTGGAAGAGAGAGGGGAGGAGGAAGAGGGAAGGTGGGCAGGGAGAGGCAGGGGCGAGAGGCAGAAAAGGCTAACAGTGGAAGAGGAGGGAGCTTCAGCTTAAAGAGGAAGAGTGGCTGGGCCATGGCTCACAAAGCTCTGCCTTGGACATAGAATCACTTCTACAAACCCTGACCTCCAAGGGCTGTGGCAGAAGCTGCACATGGCGGTCCTGTCCTCTGCCGGTTACCCTCCTACTTCCCCCTCCCTCTAGGAAAAGGCCAGGAATCCAGGCCTGGGGACTGAGGACCACCGAGACGCTTGAGAACAGAGCCTGGGAGTCTTCTGTCCCTGCTCACTTTCCAAAAACTCAGCTCACTGCCATCAAGTCGATGATGACTCCCAGCGACCCTGTGGCATAGTGGCTTTGCACTGGGCTGGGGCCAGCAGTTCGAAACCACCAGCCTGCTCCCTCAGGAGGTAGATGGTGCCGTCTACGCCCATAAAAGTTACAGTCTCCGAAACCCAAAGGGGCCGTTCTGCCCTGCTCACTTTAGAAGAATGAAGTGGAGCTTTACAAGAGGAGGCCAGCCCTCCCCGACATACCCACTCTCTCTCACCCCATCCCCTTACCCACCCACCCCCACACACCAAGTTTCAGTAGCTGTGGACTGGCACGGGCCCCACTCACGGTTGGGAGAGACTGGTAGCAGCCAGAGAGTGGAGGGAAGACGTTTGCCAATCCTTCTTTCTTGATTCTGTTTGTAATGCGTCAGAGTGAAACCAGTACTGCCTGTGAAACACCCCTTCTCGAACCTATTTGTCGGGAGCCCAGGGCCGATTCCTGACTCAGGATGCATGGATCTGTGCATGACAGTGTGCCCGTCCTGCACACAAAACTTGTGTCGGAGAGGTGATAACTGTCGGATCTGTGGGCAGAACTTTAAACTGGGCCAGAAGGCTAGGTGAAGGACTGTGACCAAAGGCTGCATACGAACCATCTGACTTCTCTGAAAAGGCTTTTCTTTAAAGGCACACAGTAAATAACAGGAAAAAAACATGCATTCTCTCTGGTGCAAAAATGAGAAAAGGTCTACCCCCATCCCCGTCCCCCAATTTTTTTCTTAAACTATTTACTTTAGGAGTCTTAAAATTGCCCGTTCTTCCTCTGCTGCTTTGACATGCATATATACCTGCTGCAAACACCGGATTAGGGCTGGACTGGGTTCAGGTGGCAAGTCTCGCAAGACAATCAGTACGGCAGGGCACATGTGACCTCCCCGGTCAGAAAGAAATGGAACCAGAGAAACTTGGTGGAGGCCATTTATTGAACTTGTGCTTCTGCCCTTGGGTTACCGGAGCTTCCTACCAACCTTATATCAGTCATTGACCCCCGAGTGTGAGTTAATGGATCACACCGCTGGGCTCTAAGCCTGGACAGGCAGGAAGTGTCAGCCCAGACTAAAGCAGAAGAGAAAGGGATAATTCTGAAACTGCTTCCTGCTGAATACCCAAATTAGCTGCCCCTCGGCCTCTGGGAACCTGTGGGTGAGGAGGTGGAGAGGATGACTCCTTATTTCACATGGTTGGGCTCTCTCTCACTGCATCGAGTCAACTCTGACCCGCAGCAAATCTATAGGTCAGAGAAGAACAGCCCCGGTGCGTTTCCAAGACTGTCTGTCTTTACAGAAGCAGAAAACCTCATCTTTCTCTCCAGGAGCGGTGGATGGTTTCCAACTGCTGACCTCATGGTTATCAGCCCAACACTTCACCAGGAGGCCAGTGTTTGCCTGGAGCCCAGGTTTCCTTGTGCCTTGCACAGCCTGAGCTTCCTAGGGGCAGGAGACACCTGGCTTTGCATAGGGGGGTGGACTGTATGTTCTCAGTAAATAACCCTCCTTCCATCACCGGGATTTCTTTCTGCTGTTCTTGCAGACCTAACAGAAAGATCTGCTGCTGGAAAAAGAAAGGATGGAAGCAGAGATGTGAGTAGGCGTGGCTTTCCTTGGCTTTTTTACCTCTTCTCCTATCTCGGCTCCAATTAAGAAATAGGCACCGTCCTCCAAAAGCCCAAAGGGCAGTGGAAGGGCACTTCAACCAGGGCTGGTCCCCAGGATCCCACAGCACAACAATGGTGTCAGCTGTACCTCCCAGGACAATGATCCAGTCCCGCTCAGCCGACATTCCTGAGTAGAGTCCCTGGATAGGACAGTTAACCTGTTCTTCTGCTCACTAAAAGGACAAGGGTTCACGTCCTCTCGAAGGTGCCTTAGAAGAAGGACCTGCAAGCTACTGCCCCAAAAGGAAAACAAACAGCCATGTGCTGTCATGGATAATTCAGGCTGCTAATCGCAAGCTCAGCAGTTCAAATCCATCCGCTGCTCAACCGGAGACAGACGAAAGGCTTTCTGCTCCTGTAAAAATGTACAGCCTCAGAAACTCAAAGGGGACAGTTCGACTCTGCCCTACAGGGTCACTGTCAGTCAGAATCAACTCAGTGGCAGTGAGTTTGCCTTCGTTGTTTAGCAAGAACCCTAGGGATTGAGCAGTATGCTCTTTTCAGAGGGACCTACCTAAATGGGATCCGACTGACCAAAGTCCCTCCAAAGATTGACTAGGAAGCTTTGCGGGCAGTGAGTTTATGTTCACGGGGGAGGAGCGAGTCTGAAAAGGAGGCTGAGGCTGACTGTGTGATTCAAAGATGACATCCGTGTCACCGGACCGTGGACGTAGAAACTATTGAACTGGCGTCTGTTTTGCTCTGCGTGTTCTCAGAACCACACACACCCAAAATAGGTACGTGCCTACGCTTTCAAGCGAGGTTCCGAGGTAAAACATGACCCCCTGGAGCACAGTTCTGTTCTGACACGCAAGGGTGCAACGACAGCTGCTTGGGTTTCTACTGCGTAGCCCTCGCGGAAGTACCACGGGTCTGCCTCAGCCACCTGAGCCCACAGGACAGGGCTGCCCCACAGGGTCCTCAAGGCGGTAACTCTCCACGGAAGCCACTCCCAGGGCACCTTAAGCAAAACCTACCAACCCTACACCCACAGTGACGCGAGAGGGGGTGACTCTTTCTGGGAGCAGACAGCTTCAGCTCTTTCTCCAGGGACAGACGGCCGGTGGGTTTGAACCGCCTTTATGCAAAGCATGGGCATTGCTAAAAAGTCTTTCCATCAGCTCCCCAGAATATCCAGAGCAGCTGACCTCAGAATTCTGCAGAAGGTAGATAGCACCCCCCCCACCCCCCCACCCCCTGCAATCCGCAAGGAACCATTATGCAAACAGCCCTAAGCTGTTTTCTCCTGCAGCTTCGAGAGTTTGCGTCCTGCTCACGCTTAAGACGTGGCGCCTTGGGAGCACAGACGATGACTGGAAAGGAATCCCCGTGGCCCCTGCACCCTCCTCCTCTCCCGCCACCATCCTGAGGGTGCCGCTCAGGGTGGGCCTGTGTGAGATTTCTCTCAATCACCACGGAGTTTCCCCGCACCCGGAAAAGCAGGCAATGGTGAATCAGGGAGAAATCCCTCACCCTCCACGCGGGAGACTTGCATTGGATCCCAGGCACCTCCATACCCTCCCCCATCCCCACCACCCATCCCCCCCATCTGCCAGTGGAGGTTTGCGACTAAGATGGGCTAGGAAGAAAGGCCTGGTGATGTACTTTTGGGGGGGGTGGGATCAGCAATGAAGAGGTTCGCCGATATCGAGTCCAGTTGTGCACGAGTCCCCCGTGGAGAGCTGCTAGCATCGTGCGTTTTTCTCATCAAGAAAGTCATTCTTGCTGCGTGTGGATTTCTCTCCCCAGATCTGAGCGGAGGTCTCGGGAGCTGGGGTGAGTGAGGGGTCCGCCACCAGGACCAGCCCGCGGAGCTTGCGATTGATTGCACTTTCAACGCCTTTGGGTGACCCCGCACTTTCCTCCTCTATAAGAAGACCCTCGCCCCCTGTTCTGGAGCTTGGAGGAGGCGACGCTGCCCTGGCTGCCCTGGCTGTAGCCGGGCTCTGAGCTGGTCCCAAGGAAGCACACCTGCACTTTAGAAACCTGTCACCCTGCAGTGGTCCATTGGTTCCGGGGCTCCCCCTGGCGGCCAAACTGAAAGCCAAGGGACTCATGGGGTTCACGGGAACAATGGGGTACGGAATGGATATATTTAATAACACGTCACTTTCTTAATTCTCTGTGGCAATCAGAGCAGGTCTCTGAAGAATAAAATGCCATTGTTTACTCTTCCACATGTCTCAGATGCCTTGGCTGTGGGGGGTGGGTCCTCTGCACTTTAGTAGATTTACTATTTCAGGCCCTCAGGCTCCATTGGTGAGAGAGCCTTAAGGTCCCCTGGCTGTTCGCCTCCCTGATGGCCCTGGGTGCTGCTGGGAGAGGAATTCACAGAGAACCACCTGTCCTGGGCCCCACCTCCCACAACAGGTGTCGGGCTGCAGTGTTACTGAACTGTATGGGGAAACAATATACCTATAGCGCCACCGTCAGAGAGCCAGCCCCTAGCAAATCATCACAGACCCAGCAGGCGCAATTGTACAACGATCATAAGTAAAGATTATAGCAAAGTCGTAGAGCATAAGGAGAGATAGAAGAGAGATTGAAATAATGGAGTCAGACACATTTCATGGTAGCATGCTCACCTCAGCTCCTCTTGGTGGTACAGGGCAGGGGAGAGAGAGAGAGAGAGAAAGAGAGACAGATTGCTAACCAAGGCTTATATATCTTTTGGGGATGTGCAAGCCCCCTAATTACAGGTAAAGACACGTCACAGGAAAGGGTTGTGCCATAGGTAATATAGTAATGGGAGAGGGTGATCTAGGGGTATACATGCAATAGGAAGGGGATAGATTGGGGGTATACATGTGACAAGATGAGCAGATCCTAGATTCAGGGAGGCAGCCTAATATTGGATGTCCCTGAGCAGGTTTGACCTGTTCTCTGGCTTTCCATAGAAACCATTATCAGTAGGGTGTGCACCCCAACTACAGTGGACCAGATGCCTTCCGGGAGAATATCTCTGAAGCATCTGACCTCCCACCATGTGCTGGCAAACAGCCTCTAATGTTTGGCATATCTTTGGGGGAGACAAAGCTGGGGAAAAGTCTTCTTGTATCCCACACTGCCACTTTTAGTCCAAGAGAGGAGCTACTAGTTTCCAAAACAGCCATGAAGAGAGGGCTTGCCCTGGGATCCAGGCTGACAGCACACCACTGGAGCGTCTGGCAGCCACTAAGCCCTCAGTGCAGGCGCACCATGCTTAGGCAGTTACGCAGACCAGAGAGCTTCAGAGTGCGCTGGCAGAGTGAGCTGCAAAGATCATGGAATCAGCCCACAAACTTCTAAACCCTTGCCTGCTGAAACAGATCTTCTCCAAACCCTCTGAAAAAGGCCTCCAGGCGTCTCCAAACACAACTGAACCGGACGAGCAGGCAGGTGAAGACTTTGGCTCCTGCTGCCTCTTCTGTTTGGAAAGGACACAGCCGGGGCTGGGAACCCACATTCCTACCCTGTCCTGATTTCCTAACCAATGGACCACTGCAGGGTGACATGCCCTCTCTGGCTTCTCTACTGGTCACTCTTACTCTGTGGCCTGGTGGCACTGTTAGGTAAGCTTTGGGCTGCTAACCACAAGGCTGGCAGTTCAAACCGACCAGCTGCTCCTCGGAAAAAAAATGAGGCTGTCCGATCCTGCAAAGATTTACAAAGCCCACGTACAAGGTCAGCAGTTGGAAACCACCAGCCACTCCTTGTGAACCAAAGCCTTGGCTTCCTACTCCTTTCAAGAGTTACAGTCTTGGAAACCCAGAGTGGCAGTTCTGCCCTGTGCTAGAAGGTCTCTGTGGATTGGCATTGGCTCGATTGTAGTGAGTTTGGTGTTTGGGTGTTTATATGGTTTATAGGATGGCTAAATGTAGGCGTGAACTTGATGACAATGGGTTTGGTTAGTTCTCACTCCTTGGGGGAGAGAAGGGAGTGGAGTGTGGGCTTTGGTGTCAGAGTGTGTGGGTACCAGGATGTATGAATTAGGGAACCCTACTAGTGTGGTAGATATAACGCCTTGGGCTGCTAACCTCAAGCTCAGGAGTTTGAACCTACCCGTCTCTCCTTGGGAGAAAGGTGAGGTTGTCTGCTCCTGTAATGACTTATCAACTCAGAAAGCCCAGGATCCAGGCAGCTCTGATCACTCTGAGCAGTGAGATGTGTGAGTTACACAATGTCTAATGCTTAGCCGTTGACATTTCTACAATCGGTTTCCCCATGACTAAGGGAAGGAATGTGAGAGGGTGCTTACTGCCTTTCTTTATCAGGAACTTAGCGGGCCCAGGAGAAAGTAAGTGCCTGAGAAGTGCATACCAAAGATCTTAAGTAATCTCTCTCCAAACCCAAACCCAAAGTCACTGCCAGGGAGCCCATTCTGACGCACAGGACCCTCCAGGACAGAACAGAACTGCCCCATAGGATTTCTATGGCCATCAGTCTTGATAGAAGCAGGCTGCTACATCTTTCTCTCGAAGAGCAGCTGTGGGGTATGGGGGAAGGGCCAGCCCCCCACAACTAATCACGGGTTCAGTAAGCGCAATTGTACAGTTAAGATACATAAAGATTATCATAGAGAGCATGAGAGACAGAAGAGAGATTGAAATAGTAGAGTCAGACACATTTCATGCTAGCATGCTCACCTCCTGGATGACCAGGATCTTACCAGCCAGGTCCACACACACGTGGGTCGAGGTGAGGTGGGGCAGGGACCCCAATTTATTGCTAACCAAGGTTTATATCTACTTAGGGGGCATGATTACAGGTAAGCACACACATCAGAGGAAGGGACCGTACAATAGGCTTAAGTATGACAGGAAGGGGATGAGCTAGGGATATGTACATAGGAAGGGGCGGGACTAGATGTGACAAGATGGGCGGACCCTAGATTCATGATGGCGGCCTAACCTTGATCACCCTTGGGTGGGCTTTACCTGCCTGGGCTCTCCTTCAGGAAAACAATTTACTACTATCCTTTATCAGAAGGGAGTGGGCCCTACTTGTTGTGGGATAAACTGTGGTGACTGCTTGCTCTGGATGGCTGATAACCCTTAGGGAGAATAACCCCTGACCTACTTCTGTTGACCTCCAAGTGTATAGTCATCCATGTGTAGCAAGCAACTAAGTTTGGGATATATTTGGGGGAGACAACTTGGGAGAAATCTTTCTGTTTCCCACAGTGGGGCTCGAACTAGAACAAAGCTGCCCAGAAAACTCCCAGTGGGTGCTTGTTCACTAGGCCTCAGCAAGACGGCTGGCCCAGGGCTCTCCTGCCCACACTGGGCCCCCCAGCAAATTCCCACACACGCCCTAGGTTGCCCCGTCTGCCCAGAACACCTCTTTCCAGGGACCCCGATTCTCCCTCAGCAGCAACAACCAAAAACCCTATGCAGTCACGTATGGCTGATCCAGGAGCAGAAGGGAAAGAAACTGGAGACCCAGGTCACATTTAGATTGTAGCACAAGAACCTTTCAACTAACGACCATCACGGACGTGAAGCAAATTCAGACGGGTTTTTGAAGGGACACAGATCTGCTCTGAAAAGCTTCACTCAGTTCACCAGAAAAAGTTGGGTTCTTAAAAAAGATGCTCACTCATGGAAGAAGCACACCGCTGGTGTGATCATGGAGTCATAGGGACCGGATAATAAGCATCAGCAGACACGTAACAAACAAAAACATATTGTTGAGAACGAGGGCTGGAGCGGAGATCCAAAGCCCATCTGTCGACAGTGGAACAGTCTCCCCACAGAGGGCCCACAGGGAAGGGATGAGTCACCAGGTGCAGTAAAGCATCCATGAAACACATTATATTCCTCTGGTTCCTTGAGGCTTCCTCACCCCCCACTCCCATGACCCCAGTGCCGCTTCTCAATTCAGACTAGACCGGAACATGTACACAGGAGTTATATCCACAGAGTCCTAGATTCTGTTAAGTTTAAGAAGGAAATCTAAAAGTTCATTTTCCTTCCTCTCCCTCTCCCATGCTCCCTCAACCAGAACACCAGCTGCAGCTACAGAATCAATCGCTGGGTGATATGATTCATAGACGATTTCAAATTTCTTTCCGTTTTTCCTATGTTTGGCACCTTTTCTTTTAAAAGGCCACCAGACCGGAATCCCAGTTCTCAATGACCTGTAAATAAACACTGAAGGGAGCAATTTTGACCATTGAGAACATCAGTGTGTGCCTCCCGAGGATCGAGATGAGCACTCACGCTAAACATACGACATGTGGGACCACGGCCTTTTGTTTCTTAACTGCTTTTGTTGTGAACTGCTGGGTGAAGGTCTACAGAGCAGATCCGTTTTCATTCAGCAAGTGAGGCAGGTGTAGCCAATATCACTGCTTGCCACGCCCTCCTGGGCCATCACTCCTCCCACTTCCTCCCTGGACTTCCGGTCTCCCTCCCTCCGCCTTTCCTACTGGTCAGAAAGTTGTCCTTACATAGATGCTGCCCTTTTGACCTCGCAAAGCTGCCTGTTGTAAGGTGTGTACCCTTCACTAGTGTTATTGGTCCCCTTGGAGCGCGGTCTGCTGTTTGGCTGAAAACTGATCCCTGGGAATGGGTCCGTTCAGGCTTGAAGGGTGGGACGGGCCAGCGTCTCAAGGGTCCCACCCGCCTCTATCCGACCAGCAAGCAGCCTTGGTCTCTCGGGACTTTGAGCTCTTTCCTTCGAGTCAGCTGCAGCATTATGCGTGTGTTTTTCAGGGGCCCTAAAAAAGGAAACTAAAAGAAAAACGCATTCAGTGAAAGTTTGAGAGGGGCCGGGCCTGCCGGCATCCTATTTGCGTATTCAAACTTCTATCCGCCTGTCACACAGCCCATGGCAGGGCTGTGGCGGGGCAGCTGGGGCACACGTGACAAGCCCCCACGCGTTGATTCTGGTTAGCCTTCTAGGGCGTCATCCCCCAGAACTTCCCTCTGAAGCTGAAGAGTTCAGGGTCTTTCCGCAGCGCACAAGCTTCTCTGAGGGTTCTAAGAATAAAGCAGAGGAAAAACCACCAATGGGTGCCAG